GCTCATTGAGGTCCCAGAGGTTGGAGACTTCTGATTGGTTGCCGCGTGTGACTTCTCGAACGTGATTGGCTGTTGCCGATGTCTTTCAGTTTAGCGCTCCGAACAGGATGTGGAAATTTCAACGTAAAGAGCGCAACTCCACCCAAGTTAGAGGCAAACATCTGGCCGCAATCTTCGTAAGGGAGGGCGGAGGCGGCCCCGCATTCCAAGCAGCGCTTCATGCGAGCTGGAACGCGTCCGAGGAATGACTGGCACTGGCTGCACTGAGTGAGAGCTTTCTGCAGAGGGAAACACTTAAAAGTTGATGGTGGTAAAGTGCATCTTTCCCCTCAGCGCCGGTAATTCAACCGGGAAGTGATTAGCCTTTCAACGGAAAGAACTGATCAGAAAATGGAATCAGATGTTAATACAACGCTGTAAAACACAATGCGTGAGAGTTTATATTAAAATATAATATAATTATCATAGAATACCGTGGGGTAGTTATAAACTCATGGGCAGTTCTAGGCAGGGGCCAACGAGGGCCAGTGCCCCTTTAGATCGTGTCTTGGCCCCTGTTATGCCCCTTGTACTGATGACATAATACTAAAATAAATTCTAATGATGATATGTGCTGCAACAGACATGGTTACTGATAGGTCCTTTGGGTCTATTTCACTTGTTTTTTTCCTTACAAATTCTGTTTTACTAATTATTTAAAAACAACAAGGTGATAGTTTCTATGGTATTGAGATAGGATCTCTGCTAAATGTTTTTTTTTCAAAGCAAATAAATTATAGATGAATTTATCAGTTTTTCTTGAGTTATAATTCAGATTTTATAGAAAACAGTAATTTTAACTTAAATGAAGTAAAAAATATGTAAAATTCCTAAATAATGCATGTATATAACACCCTTGTTTATAGATGTTGGGGATCGGCCTGTTTTCCAGTGTAGTCCTGTTTCTCTGACTGTGACTGGCTGGATGTGCTCTCTTCATCCTCTGACATGGGAGTTGGCTCAGAGCTTGTCTGCCTGGCTGTGTGTTTCCTGGACTATTACAGCTGCTTTTTGTATCTCTGCTTCTGTCTCCTTGAATCCACTGTCGCTACAAGCATGCTTAATGATAATAATAATAATAATAATACATTTTATTTAACAGCGCCTTTCTGGACACTCAAGGTCACGTTACAGAGAATAAAATGAAAATACAAATCAAAACAACGGGATGACAGCTGAAGTCAGGACGATCGAAGCAAAGGCAAGTGCTTTTGCTCTCATTTGAATGTGAGTACATGGCCCAATGTTCCGTAAAAACGTTAAAAATAACTTAAAAACAGGTAGTGGAGAGCAGAGGCTGCAAAAAGCGGCAGCATCCACTCAGCCGTGCATGCGTAAAGAGTGTGAGGGATTGCATTCGAGTCAATGAGTCGATGCAATCAACTGGTTTTCCTTAGATAGAAAACTTTGAATCAGTTTGACTGGATAATTTGGTGAACTGTAAAGTGCCTTGAGATGACATGTGTTGCGAATTGGCGCTATATAAAAAATAATTTTAATTAAACCTAATTGAATAGTAATTTAACTTCATACAGCTATATTATAATATATTTGAATCCCTTGCCCTGTTTTTTATTTCATGCTTTTCTGTGCCCCCATGAAAACACCACTGCCCCCTCCTGGCCCCCTGGTACGTTTGGTCTAAAACCGCCACTGTATAAACTTGAGTCCAAATTGTACAAGCTGTTAGATATATACCTTTCAAATTGTTGCAAATAAAAAATGAAGTGTGTTTTTAAACATTCTCTTTGCCTCTAAAAAGTGCACACAGTTGCTTTCTTAAATCAGCTAAGTATCCCACAAAATCTAGCTATGTGTATTTTAACCTATACTCCTCCATGAAGGGATTTGTTAGGAGACATTTGTGACATAGCCACTGTGAAACTTGGGGGTGGCAGTATCATGCTGCAAAAATCCTTTATTTCAGGGGAGGGAAGCCTTTGGGTTTCATTGTTTCAAATATGAATTCAGTCACCTTTAAGTTTCTTGCTTGTGGAAAAAAATATAACATTTGTTTTCTTGACAATGTTAATTAATTCTTAATTAATTACATAAAGTTCTGTATGTATTGAAAGAAATGTGAACATGTTAAAAGGACAGTAAGGGCTCTGAAAGCAAAATGATGAAACCAAATTAAAACAATTCTTTATAAAGGAAGGTAGACAAGATCAAAAAAGTTTATTTTTTGGTTAAAAATCCTACCTTTTTTCACATAAAGACCTTTCTATTGCCTTGCTACCAAAATGTGCTAGATGTTTGAATTTGCCTCGTCTTATCTAGATTCTTGAGTTATACATAGAGTTATACATAGATTCTCTGTATTAATTTGCATAAATAGTTTCACTTTGTGCACTTTTAAAAGGGAATTCAGGTCTTTCACTGACATGCAGAAAAATAAAATGCCGTATTACATGTTTTAAACCTTCTACTTGGAATGTAGCAGGTTAAAATGTATGTAAAGACATTCATACTTACAGATTATTTGTCCTACTGTTTTTTTTATTTTGAGAAAAAACATGATAGTGTATAAACAGTCAAAAAATTTCAATTTATTTACATAGCTCAAACTCCAAACAAAGTGAATATCGGGGTTCTGTATAAAAAAAAAAAAAAAAAAAACTGGTTTAAGTTCAAATCTGAACGAAGAACAAATGTTCCTTTATGGTCATTTTAATAATATTCTACACATCTCTAGTTCCCTCTTAAACTCTAATCTGCAACCCCCTTAATCTCCACTAGAGGGCAGTGTTTATCGGATACATTTATGGTATACAAGGATCAGTGTTGCACAAAATATTAGTTTTGTTTCTTTGTTTTTTTAATTCAAGGTTCAGGGTTCAATATTTATTTATTTATATTGAATATATTATTTCTTTCTCTGTAAAACACACAAACAGTAGAACACGTAAACTAAACAATGAGCCACCCTACCTCACCAGACAGCACACGAAGTATAATAGTACACCATAGGTATCCAAGGGCTTAAAGTGACCAGTTCTCAGTGGATTTGATATAGGGCTGAAACAATTATTCATGATTAATGGATAATTGAAATAATTTTTAAGTAATTTAGTAATTGATTAAGCTTTAACTAGAGAGTAGATACTCTAAAATATGCCTTTAGCTGACAGAGTAACTCACTTACAGCAGTATTTATACCAAAATTATAAAAAAAAATTTGTAAACATTTTGTATTTAAGATAAAAATCTTTTTTTGTCCGTCAATATGCGCTTTCCACCACTCCTCCAGTGGAAAAGCTTTATTTTTACTTTGTTTAATTTGACAAAAAGTCTTCTTTAAGGAACCTTTGGCTGTCTGATAATTAATTGATTGATCGAAAAAGTTATCGACAGATTAATCGATTTGCAAAATAATCTTTAGTTGCAGCCCTACTGTGGTCTTTAACTTGAGATTTTCAGAAGATAAGTCTTCTTCAGTGTAGAAAACTCATATTACTAGCAACGTTTCAGATCTGAAGGTATACAGCATATTCCAGACAGGATGTCTGCATTTTAAGAAATATCTCATCCCTACTGTGTACAGCATAAGGACGAATTTTAAAGATTTCCTTGTACCAAGTGGTGATATTAGGAAAGAGAGTTTTGGTCCTTTTAAGTAGTTTCTAGTATTGAAGAAGACTTTTCCAGAAAGCCTTTAATCTATATACAGCAAAATGTAGGTTCCTAGAACGAGGCCAAGGGGGAAAGCCTCTTAGTTTTAGTTTTGAATATAGCCCTGATTTCAAAATTCAGAAACCTGTTTACATTCACAAAGTCATGGAAATAATCCCTCCTTTCTAAAATGCATTTAATGCATTAATAAGAAAATAATTAATCAATTGTGTTTAAAAAAAAACAGGAGTAAGAAGCAATCTATGCTGTATTTTATATTTGGCTTTCCTTAGTTCTTTACACGTAGCTTTTGAGCTAATCAGTCTTATTGCTGTTTGCTTATAGGCTTCCATTTTTTCATTAGTCAGACCTCTTTCCCAAATGGAGTGAAATATCTAATAGATGATATGTTAGAGCTAAGGAGTTTGTAAAATGATGCAGTAAAATGTTTCCAGTCTTTCCACTCAAGATCTAATCTCTTAGAATCACTTTAAGGACTAATGGTATTCCCGTATGGCTTTTAAAACTTCCTCCTCACCTCTGCCTGTGCCTTCTGTACCTTTAATAAAGAACCACATTTCTCATCCTACAAAGAAATGTGGTTCTTGTCTCAGAGGCAGATGTGCATTCTGAGCTATAAAGGTCCTACTACTTCATTTGTATCAGTGGTTTTAGGACACCGCCCTCCATTGTTGTCTATGAGAGAAGGGATTAGCGTTGCTACAGATTGAAGTGAGACAGGAGAGCTAGCAAACGTCCTGGTTTATTACCCGATTCAAGTAATTAATGCTCTTTTTTTGCCTAGAAGCTACTGCAAGATTTTCTAAACTGACCTTCCAACCTATCTACTGTCCTTTCCAGATCCAGCTGCTTTTGGGCCTCTTTCATATGTGCTGATGTGTAAAATATAATTATCCAACATATATATTTTTTACGAGCCTTCCGTAGTGTAGAGGCATTCGTATCTTGTGATTTATTTATTAAATTGACAGGTTACTTACAGTGGCTTTGAACATCCAGTGTCTATGAGCTGGGTCTCTACATAGGGGGGAAATAGTTACACTGATATGAAATTTGTGCCAATTATACTTAACTTTTCGGCTCAAATATGTCTCTAAGATTAAAAGTAGGTTATTCTGAAAAAAGGATCGATGAAGAGATGAACAAAAAAAAAATGTAGTCCTTTTGTAGAGGTTTAAATATCCTATCATGATAATTTAAATCTAAGCCTTGACAGAAATCTTCCATTTTTACTCTTTAACTGGAGTAGCAGGATGGGCGATATATCAATGTTCAAGTTAAATATACAATTAAAGTCACCACCTAGTAATAAGGATCAAGAGAGAATGAATTGCTCAATCATATTCTTTCTTGTTCTGTTCCACAGATGTGCATGTTGATAATTAGTGTCGTGTGTTGGCCCAGCTGAGGGTGTAGGAGCTGTGAGCACTTTCTGTGCTGTGTTTCAGGACACTGTGACCCTCTCCTGAGGAGCTGTGGACCAGGTGCATTCCAGAGGCTTCAAGGCCCCGAAGGACACTGAACCAGTAGCGGAGAACCTCCTCATCGCTGCCTCCCACCTCAAAGCCTGCCCAGTGCAGGTGCACAGTGCAAACCAGATGATGAATGTTCTGCAGAGTCCCCATCTCTATCCAGCTCTGAAAAATCCGCCACTCTGCACTTAACAGGTCAGCATACACAAAATGAACCTGAAAGGAGATGGAAATATTGACATATATAGTTTCTTCATATTTGCTAAATATTAGATAAAAATATTAAGGATTTAAATATTTTTTTCTGAAATAGATCAACTTTTATATAATTTCCACATTAAATACCCACATAGCTCACCATAGGTCAGAAAAATGTCAATGAAATAGTGTTATATCACAGATTGGCATCTGAAGAATTGGAATTAAAATCCTGGTCCTGACTTTCAGAGCCTTGCATGGTCAGACCCTGCAGTACACTGCTGATGTGCTTTATCCCTACTCTTCTTCAGCGCACCCTTCGGTCTTCTAGTCAGAACCTCCAGAGGGTCCCAAAAACGGGTTTTAAAACCCGTCCCTTCAGGCTTTAGCTCCAAGATTGTGAAATGACCCTCGTATGGTCAACAACTTAAAACATTGCTGTTAAAAAAAGCCTTTGCATAGTGAATTCTACACTTTTATACATCACTGTATGTATGTTAATCCCCGTGTGTTTTATTTTATGCATTCTATGTACAGTACTTTGGGATTTCTATATGTGAAAAGCCCTTTATAAATTACTTTTACTTATTACTTACCAAAGTAATGATAAACAATAAAAAAAAGAATACCTGATGACCATCATCCAAGTTATTGGATATAAGATGGGTGAAAAAATGTAGCATTAGAGATGCACCGAGCCAGTTTTTTCCCAATCGGATACTGATACCTGGGCTGGGCGTGTTGGCCAATATCAGATACCTTTATGATTCAACTGTTGAATGAATAAACAGTATATCTTGCAGTGAAGGCTTTAGCCTTGGCATAAAAATAGTTACAAAAAAGATAAAAAATTTAACACAGATATGAATGTCCTTTATATTATTTATTATAAAATAAGCGGCAAAAAAGAGAGAACTAATAGTTTAATGTAAAGTGCACTAGATTGGATCTCCGATTTCCAAAATAAATTCGCCGATATCTAATGCAGCTAATTAGTCAACATTAGAGCTGATATCGTATCTGATCGGTGCATCTCAAATTAGCATCCAAACAGCTAAAAGGAGCTTCATTGTGTGGCTCAGCCTTAGAGATGAGGAGTTTGGTTTAAATTAAGGAGTTTAAATTAAACATTTGATCAGGGCCACTCCTGGGTGCCCTTTAAGAATTTTTTTGCAGGTGAGTAACACTGACTTTAGGGAAGACCCATGAGTGAGCTGAAGGACCAACACATCGGTATCCTCCAGAATGATTTGCACAGTGTTGCTTGGATGAAATCTGTCTCTGTGGGCCACTTTAAAGAAGACGTTGTGTTAAACCCAAATAGGTTTTTATCATTAGATTTTTAAGGCACATCCATTGAATTCTAAAGAATGTATATGCAAATACCTGCTCGGGAGACTTATAACAATTATACAGTATTATAATGACATTGTGTTCACCAGCTACATTTGTGAACTTCAGTGAAAAATAGTTAGGATTGTTACTCTTAATATTATTGGTGAAAGTTTGACTAACTAAGAGCGTGAATAATCCTCATCTTTTCATAGGTTTTGTATTAAATACTTCACGCCCCTCTCCATTGCTAGTAAACCCCTCTATTATCAGCCTATATTAGAATGAACCAACATAGAAGTCTAACTCAGACTGCAGGTATGTAACTCCCTCTTGTGGCTGCCGGATGTAGCTGGCTCCCCTGGATGAATCACTCACTTAAACCGTTGCCATAGCAGTCAGAGATGGCGCAGAGCCCTGTTACCATGGCTACAAGCAAGTAAAATTGCTTTCTGGGTACACTGGGGTAAAAAGATTGTGAGGTGTGTTTGTTGTTGTTTTGGGGTGAAATTTTTAATTGCTTCTGCTCGCGTATCTTACGGTGTGGTGTCCCAGCGCTGCCATGATGTCAGCCAGCGTGTGAGAAACCCCGCCCGGGCTGCCGCTCCACCTGTGCCTGTGCCTCTTTGGAGCTCGCCATTCCAGCCACAATTTGTGCTGGCTGAAGACGCCCCTGTTTCCATGGTTACTGGCCAAACTGTTACCAAGGTGACCAACAGATGCACTGGAGGTGCTGGGATCAAAACGGTGGATTTCACATCCAAGCCTGGAGACAGTGCTCAGAAAGTCTGCATCTCCTCCATCCAAACTGGCGAGACAAAAGAAAAGCAGTCAGTAAGACAGAGGCTTAGAGAAGTGGTTAAAAAGATTTCTGCACCCACAATTAAATATGCATTGCATTAGTTTGAATGCAGCCGAGCCAGTGATAAGAATGCCTGAGCTTGCGGTGCAGACACCTGAAAGAGTAGGCAATGCAGAGTCTGTGTGGAGCTGGAAGCAGCCAGTCCTCTGCACACAGCAGCCAGCGAGCTGAAGCCACAGGGGGCGTCACTGCCTGAGCCTTCCCTGGAGGTAAAACCCTGGAGCAGTTCAGCTGGGGACAGACAAGAAAGAGAAAAAGCTCATGACATGGAGATGTGAGAACCATCTGCCTCAGAATGAGCACTGACATGAGAGGAAGGTAAAGAATAAGAAGTGGTTTGATGAACAGTCTTCTGAAATTTGGAAGCGTTGACACCACATATGTGTGACCTATCAGCTCTTATTTTTTACTTTTCTTGAGCCAGTTTCAGGCACGTTAAATTTGGGCTGAATACCTAAAATGATCAAACACACCAGCACAGTATCCCACTTTCAACTCAACAGTTCCCCCCTTTAAGTTTCCCAACATTTGTTATTGTGCAACTTTTAAACTATTCTTTGGGAGTTTCCAGTCTGGAACAGTCTTTTCTGGCTCCAGATTTGGCAGAATGTTGCTGCCAGCATATTGACAGCACCTGACTGATATTACTGCTGTGTCAGGCTCCCACGCGAGTCTGCAGTCAGAGAAGGCCAGTACAGCTTATGAAAGCAGAGGGTTTTCTTCTTTTACTATTGATTGCTGTTCATATTTGGCAACATCTATCCCATAAAGACATTTTGTGCTTTGTGCTCACGTCTTACTGGATATTGTCATGAAAGGATGCAAGAGTTTGACAAGAGGTTGAAGATAGGGAGGGGTCTCCCTGAGGGGTTGCAAATCTAAGCTGTCATAGGTGTGAAGGAAAACAGGGGGGGAAATCTTGAAGCCAAACTTTTTCAACATGACTTTATTGTTTTTTACTCTGATCTATCTTTAGAATTAAAGAAAGTATCAACATCTATGTCGGTTTTCCACATTTTGTTGCAAATTTTATGTATTTTATTAGCAGGTAAACTTAGACTTAGAGACTCAGACTCAACTTTATTTATCCCTTTATTACTCCTTCAAGGAAATTCTGGTTCCAGTAGTTTATATAGAATACAAAGAGTTAAAGCAAGATGCAATTAAAGATCAAAATACAATTGTCAATAAAAAAGAGTGTATATAGTACAATAAAAGCATAAGAAAAGTTGTAATGTTCTGATGTAATGTTTCTTTTAGATATAAAAATATCTGCACAGTAGAAAGCTAAGGAAAGACTACACAATAGTAGTCTTTCCACTGTAGAGATGTACAAACCAAGACAGACTAGTGGACAATCCAAAACCACTAATCAACCCTCTTTACTTTGATGCCCATGAATGAAATTAATAAAAAGGCATACAAGTAATAAGAGTCCAAATGTAAGTGATGTAATGAACTACAGTGCTATGAGGACCGAGGGACACAGCAGATTAAAGAAGTCCAGCTCAGTCCAAAACCCATGGATAGGAGAATGTAGCTCCAACCTAAATAAATTGCTTCAGTTGGTAACAAGTAATTAAATTAAGTTTGTTCAACTTAATCTATTTATGTTGTCAGCTTGTAAACTAAATAAAGATGGATCAACGTGATTCAATTACCTCTTACTAATTGAAGCGATTAGTTTAAGTTGGAGGTGCATTTTCTTTGTAGTGTATTAGCCAGGTACTCCATAAAAGTCCAGTTTGAGTTTTATCCACAGTAGGGAGCGAAAGGCAGTTCAAAGCATTGACTCAGTTATGCTAAATATATGTATAATATAATATGTATGCAGTTCCTTTTAGAATATTACTTGTCAAATGTTGAAAATGAAAATACTACAATTTCACTTTGACTTTACAATCATGCAAAAGGTTTTACTTTGTTTTGTCGCCTAAAGTCCATTTGAAATATTTTAGGTTTTGCAGTTTCTTGGCTGCAGAGTTTATGGATAGCTAGAGAATTGTCCTTTATAATGTAATAAAATCTGCAATATTTAGCCCAGAATTTTCTATTTTAAATATATTTTTGCAAAAACATTCAGCTGTTAATAATTCAAAGGAATTACTTTTTTGTTTATTTGCAACCCTGGACTAACTCACCGTAGTCAAAAATGTTATTTAACTTACAAAATACTTTGTGTTTCAGTATTTTCTGTTGGGCCTACCTGAGGGCTTGTGATATACTTGATAATGCGGCTGAGTTCTGCAAAGAAGGACGGCTTGTTCGCCGCCCACAGCTGCTCCTCCATCACTCCGGGTCTCACCTGGGAGCATATGTACAAACTATATATCAATATGCTGCAGACAGGAAAGTAATAGACGATTCCTGAGAATTAGGAGTGAGGCTTAATAATGCACGGAGATGACAGAAAGAGAGGAGCAGGAAGGTCATAAGAGCTGACCCCAGGCTTGTTGGTGTTTGCCTGAAGTTTTTCAATACACAAACATACACACAAGCACAAAAATACCTCTCTCTAACTCCTAACGCCATGGCAACCTCTGTGGAGCAGGAGGGGTGCAACAGAATGAGTCAGAGAGTTTAGCCTTGGGCAGATAAAGAAAGGGAGAGTAAGAAAAGAGAAAGGCAGAGGGGAGCCGGAGAGGAGGAGAAGGAAGGTTTTGGGAAAAGTAGAAACAGACGGATGTGTACTCAGAAACACAGAAAGCGTCTGAGGATGGAGGCACAATCTGTCCAACCTCAGGGCACAGACAGAGAAGATAGACCAGCTGTCATCTTCCTCTGATCTGGGGTCAGGGCAGGGCTCGCCCCTTGCTCTCACCTGTTCTGTCATGCAGGTAATAATTCAAAGAGTGTCACAGAATTTGGCCTAGCCCATGCTGGATGAGGACACCTTATCAGGAGGGCTTTATCTGCATTCCTCGGCGTGGAAGGCCCATTTGAAATTAATCTTTTTTTTACATGGGGCGGCCACTGGCCTCTTTCACCAGACGTGTTTCATTGCAGCTTTCCTACAACATGTCCAGAAATATCACATATGTCTTCATGCTTATTTTAAAGCATATATGATGCCTCATTCGTCTGTTTTATCATTGCCCAACTCTAACGATCACTCTGACCATGTAACTCATTAACAGCTTCTTTCTTCTCACATTTTTTCTTCATTCTGATCAGAGTTCAGCAAACCTAACAATTTATTAGTAATTTTTGCTCTTTTTCTTTCTATACTGAATTTGTCCAGAAACGTAATTAAAAAAGATGGTTTTAAATGTTTTTTTTTATTTTTACAAATGCTTGTATAGCATTGTAACAATCCCAATTGTCTTTTCTAATATTAGTTTATACATTAAAGAAAAAAAAAGGGCAGTTGCCCAACAAATAGTTTTCCTAAATGGAATATTCTGTTGGACAAAGATAAAACAAACCATTTACAGGTTGATAAGAAAAATGTAAATAAAATTAGAAAAGAAAAAATATTATGCAAAATGTATGTTTCACAAATTGAACACAGGAAAAAGGTGCTATTGGTGCTTGGAATTGCTAACCTCAAAGCTAACTTCTATATAAGTTTTGCTGAGAGTTTGATAGAGCCACTGTGGAGGGGCTAAAGGTCCATGTGCAGCCTCAGAGCCCCTGGTTTAGTGTTTTAAGTATTGTTTAAACCTTTCTTGTCCTCTAATTTTGACACATCTTTTTATCGTTTTCTCAGCTGAAAATCCAGCTACTTATCTAGAAAGCACTAAATGTTCTTGAGGGTTTAGGTGGTCCAATGTCCTCTGGAACAGATTTACTACTTTAGTTCTTGTGCTCCCCACCAGCTGTTTCTGGCTGAATCATTCTACTAAAACTACTGATTAATCACCTTTATTGCAGAGTTTCACTAAATTAGTAAAGCAGAATAAAAATAGTACACATTCTCTTTGATTTATATATTTTTTGGATTTCTTTGGTACTTATTTCTTTAATTCCAACTGTTGATTTTATTCTACTGGGATAGACTCAGAGTGGTTTAAAGCTAGCGTTGGGTCAAAAAATTTGATCATGTTTTTATTATTCTTCACAGCCAGCCATTTTAAACTTTATAACAAGTTGATCAAACTGTATTGAAACGCCTTCTTGAAATATGAAACTGTAAAATAAAGTATATAGATGTGAGGGGGTTGCTGTACTGGCTTTAGGTCACAGTATTGATGTGTTTGCGCTATTAACATTTCCTTAGCGTTTTATAATATGAATATTAATCTCTTTTGACACTAAAAGATAAAGTCAATATTAAGAGGTTGTTTTGATCTATTCATAAAGCAAAATAGTCTCTCATTAAATGTGAGTTATTAGTATAAGTTATAAGTATTAGGTTATTTTTTTAATACTCATTCTTTAATAAAATTATAACTTGCAACTTAAACACACCGTTTAGTGAAGTGAAAGCCCTTTGGGAAACTCCTCCAACTCCCATTGTCATTGTGACACAGCGCACACAAGTGAACACTGCACACCATGAAATTGCATTTATGCCTCACCCGTGCAAGGGGGCAGCCCTCAATGGCGCCCCAAGGGAGCAGTGTGGCAGGACGGTACCATGCTCAGGGTACCTCAGTCATGGAGGAGGATGGGGGAGAGCGCTGGTTAATTACTCCCCCCACCAACCTGGCGGGTCGGGAGTCGAACCGGTAACCTTTGGGATCCAAGTCTGACACCCTAACCGCTCACCCACGACTGCCACACACACCCACGACTGCCACATCCAGATGTCAGATCATGCACAATGTTTTTTCTTTTTTTTATGTTTGGAAGCTGTGAAAAATTTTTTTTTCACTGTATGCTATTTTAGATGTAGTTAACAGAATTAATTTGTTTTTAATTAACGAAGCGATAAGCCATGATTCTGGTTGTTTAAAAAACATTGAAAGAGACCTGCGACCTGAGTAGTATCCAAGCTATTATGATTCTATTGGTTAAATCAGCAACTTATATATATTGTTTTATCTGTTTATAGGTTCTGTAAACTGTATATTTTGCATCATTAAAAGAAGAAAAAGGAAAATTCTTACTTTACCCTTTAAATGTACAACATAAAACACACTAAATCACTGGACATTAAACACATTTATTACTTTTATTGTTTGGTTTTTACAATCAAAATAATGTTTATGAGCTCTTTTTTATGTATAAACACACACAAATTAGTTTTAAAAACTTGACAATTGTATCTGTATTCTAAACCAACCTCTTCCATCTCGTTCTCATCCTCAAACCCTCGCGCCACATTCCTCCTCGGATCTCCGTCCTGCATCTCCTTCTCCTCCTCCAACCCCGGTCCCCTGAACTGGGCTCTCCAAGCCTGGCCTGTGGAGCTCCTATCTGGTTCGATGCTGATAACGGTGAGGGCAACAGCTCCGTCCCTCTCCTCCACCCACAGACGCACCAGGACCAGGAGCTGCACAGTGAGGAGAACCGGCAGGATCAACAGCAGCAGGAGGAGGCCCGCTCCTGAACGGGGGGACAAACCAGCCAGCTCCCGCATGCCTCCTCCGTGGATGAGCCGCAAAACATTTTCCTGTAATCCAACTTTTTGTCTCTTCTCCCCAGGGCAGAGAGGAAAGTCCCAGCTGGGTCCTCCTCCATCCCCTCCCTCCATGTGGCCTCCTCCTCCTCCTCTTTGGACCTTACAGCCCTCAGGGGGAACTTTGGATGACGAGGCGCATTCCTTAGTCAGTGGTGGTCCTCTTCAAAATGCTGTTTTATTTATCTAGCAAATAACTGTAGAGTCAACAATCACCAAAGGTAGTACAGAGGGAAAAAGCAGCACACATTCAAACATAGGAGTCACATTTAAACAAAAAAGGGTAAAAGATGAATTTCTTGTTAAGGTTCATCTTTATCTTAGAAAGAGCTTTTAACAACAGTAACTAGCATACTAACAATATTTTACTCACTATAAACACAACCAGTTCATTATTATTTAAATAAATGTATTTCCCTGCCAGCCAACTGAAGATTTTTTAAAGTTTTGCTTTATTTAAAGATGAAAAAACAAACTTTACACTGGTCAATCTGTAATAATATTAAAACCTCCAAACTCCAAGGAAAGAATAATTTGTCTGTCACTGTGTTGGATTTTAGTCAGAAATTCTATAAATACTTTGTCTTCCCTATCATCCTTACATTTTCAAACACACTTTTTACACTATTTTTACACCTTAATCAGTAACAGTGTATCTCTATAATATAGTCATTTTCTTAACTAATAGAAATCGTTTGGATTACAAAGAAAAAGCCCAAACAGTTTCCTTTGTGCTTGAAATATTTTAGCTTTAAAAAGCTGTTTTAATAAATGCTGTCAGTTGAACTATGATGCTTCTTAGGTTCTATGTCAGGTCTTTATTACTTTAAGAAAATATTTTTATTATTATGCAGAAATATGCATCCACATCTTTTTTGATCCAAATCCTAAATTTAGGTCGCAACAAGAATGGAATATTGGACATTTTATACAAAAAAAAAACATCCTTAATAGAAAGTATGAAATAGAAATTTTCACCAAAAACTAGGTGCAGATTTTGAGCCAGTGCTTTCCCATTAAGCCTTCTTTGTGCTGAAAAAGGATAATGTAGAAAAAAAGGTCCTTTCAAAATTTTTACATGAAGACAATTAATTGACTACTTACCACTGTTGCATTCAAGGTGGTGATTTGTGTTTGTTATCAAAACACTACCTGCTAAGAGCTCATTCAACTATTGCTTAAACTGCTGTACTTTAGGTGGAGTTCACCAGTGGAATCTTATTCACCATGGTTTCAATTTTAAGTTTTTTCTTTACCTGCTCGCGCTGTATTTCTCAGCACTTGAGACTTTTTAAGTACTAATTAAGCTGAATGGAGGTGACAATGAAGAGTGGTGAGTTCTTGCAGTTTTTTTCCTTTTAATGGAGCCTAGGCGGAAGTTCAACTAAATAAATTTATTGCTTTTCATACATCCACCTGTGACACAGCCAATCAGCTTTGAACCACACCTCCACAAAAGCCAATCAGCATACAAAGTTCATCTTAAAAGGCCTCTGATAAGCACCTGTCTGCTCCTGTGCACAGGCGGAGGATGCGCTGTGTGACTTAATTCAGATGACACCGTTTTAACCCACCTCCAGCCCCTCCTCCACCTTCGTAGCTAAAGCTTCAGGGTGTCATTCCTCCTGCACTGCTTTCCCTGTCTCATCTTAACTGGTCTGGCAGAAGACCGCCATGTTGAGACTGGTTCTGCTAGAGGTTTCTTCCCAACAGGGAGTTTTTCCTCTCCACTGTAGCTTCATGCTTGCTCATCATGGACAGGTTCTCTCAACCTGTGTTATCCAACTGGACTTCCATCTTCCAGGTCTCTGAATGAAGCTCTAGTACCAGCTCACGCAGTCCACTGGATCTCCCCATAAAGCTCAGCATACTGTCTCGCTAACCAGCAGTCTACAGACTGACCAACTTCATCTATCTCCACTCCACCACCAGTTTCAGGCCTGGGGGGGAAAACAGTCCTATGCTTTGCTCCTTTTCATGCATATCTATCAAAATTAGTGAGGCAATGACAGGGTGCAACATGTTTGACTTCTTTACAAACGTATTTTAACATATTTTATAAAAGTGGCTCCATTGCAGCTGGGATCGGACTGCATGTAATTAGGTTCTCATATAAAATTGGACTGATGTTGATTTTGGAATGAGTTGGATTCTATATAACTTGATATAAATCTGAAATGTTTGTCTTCTTCTGGTGCATACACAACATTCATTGTAAATTAATGTTGGTGTTAAACATTCATTTACATGGTGTTCAAGAGGAGGCTTGTTTGTGAAATTAAAATGCGTTTTAAAAATGACAGGCTTTAAGCAGGCATTAGGAACATACTCTTATTACCGTAAGTTCTTTTTTTTTCATTGGACTGATTTAATATTCTCATCTTAAATGTTGTGTTTTTATTAGCTGCAAGCTGAAAATTATGACAATTATGTATTAAAAGGCTTTAAACGTCAGTGTGTGTTAAATGAATCTGTATCATGCGTTTCCCTTGGTGAATTGAAGTGAATATGTCTTTAGGCTCATGCTTTATACCACTTAATATTATTGGACATAAAAGGAGAGAGAGTAAAGCGCCCTGAGACCTAAGGATTGACCTAAGTGCAAATGTTATTCAAAGGTCACCATGGAAATTACAGTTGGCTGTGATTTTTAAAGGCTTGTTGAAAAAAATTGAAAACGTCAATGCTTATAAATATAGAACACCGTAAAAGTCAGGGGTAGAGAGCAGATGCCCTCCTCCCCCTAACGCTCGGTCTGTTATGTCGTGTTGTTGACAGAATGTGTCCCCCGTCTGCCGTACAGTGGAATGTCACAGCAAACATGTTTCCTCCGGCCATGTCTGAGTCTATTTAATCAGCCTGTTGACAAACTGTACACAATCTGCGGCCCGTAAACTTCCCCCATCTGCTTTCACTCTCTATCACTCTGTGCGTCGGTCTGGCGCACGCATCCACACAAGCTGTGGATTTACAATATTTCTGTCTCACAGCAAGTTCCCTTTTAAACATGGCCTCTTTTTCGACCAGCCTTTTTAACAGTTCCTTCATTTTCATCCTTGTTCTGGGTAAAGATTAGATGTGTTGAAATAAAATGCTTTGTGGATTTCTTTCTCTGCATTTAAACCCTCATCACTTTTGAAAATGTTCCTCAGTCTGGTTTCTTTCCAGCTTCCAACACGTCCTGCATTACTCTCCTCATCACTCATTCCTCTCCTCCCCTCTTTTTTTCTTTTTTACTCCGTCGAATCATGTCCTTATTTGAACTCCCTCCCTCACATTTGCAGGCAAAGCCCAGTACTTACAATGGCTTTTAAATCACATGCAACCACCCCCTTTTATCTGTTGAAGAAAACTGCACGACACAGGCAAGTTTACCAATGGCAAGAACGTAATGTGTATTTAAATATTTTGCACCTCAGATACATACATGATATGTAACAGACAGATATACAATTCATCTTTTTTTCTTTTCATTTTTTTGCAGCACAAAAACCACCAAACAACACAAGACCACAGAAAAAAGGAGGGAGAGAGTGAAAGAAAGAAAGATAAAAGAAAGAAAGCCCCGCCAAGACTTTGTCGTCTCTGGAGCCTTAATCCTTTTGACCCCACAGGCGCACACACATAAACACACACACATATATAGGAAACAAAAGCAAACAAACCTACAAATACATGCATCACTGCAGTCACGCAAATCCATTCTCTGTCTGGAGTCCACACACATACAAAAAAAACAAAACCAAAAAACAAAAACCAAGAGTCTCTTTGGGGCTGTTGTGTAATTTCAGTGTCTCTTTCCCTTGTAGTTAAAACAGCAAAACACAGGATGTTGAGTCTCCAAGCTGCAGTCCTCTTCCTACTCCTCTTCCTCCTCTCCTTCAGAGCGGAGCAGAGAAACCATGGCAAGTGGCAGAAGAGGGGAAAGTTTATGATGGCTTCCCCCTCCTGCCATCTTCTCCCCCCCTCCAGGCTTGGAGCTGAAGTCATATGTACAGATGCTGGTACTTCAAGAGCAGAAACTGATTTTAGTCCGCTTTTTCTATTAATGGGACACAAACATCAAGACGAAGTGCACAGAGCGAGACATTTGGCTAGGTTCATGGTTTTTCCCCAAAAACAAAACAAAAACAAAAAAAAGTCGTCTTTTAGGCTCAGATGCGGCTCAGGTTGCGGCACAAGACAGTTGAGTGGTTTGAGTGCAGAACATTGCAGCTGGCTTTAGCAGTAAATGGGGAAATTTTGGAGACAAAGACAGAAAGGGTGAGAGACAGAGAGAAAGCAGAGTGATCCTAATTTGTCTATACTGCAGAACAGAAATGGAAAGTACGCAGCGAAATACTGCATGTGTCACAGAAGGACCCAAAGGAATGGGGAAATAGGTTTGTCTCCGTCCACGGGCGCCTGGAGTTTGTCTGACATCCCTTCCTCCTTCCAGGGCAGAGTGCTCACGCATGATCATGGCAAGGTAGTGAACTAATCTGCACATGCGTTTCTGTGTGTTTTTATTTGCCTATTTCATTTCTTTCTAAGCGAGTGTGCGTGTGTGTGCTTGTGTTTTTGTACACGTGCATGCTTGAGCTTCATGGGTTGATCTTGATTGTCAGTGCTGGAGAATTAAAGCTTTACTGTCCAGAGCTGGCAGCTAAATTCTCACCCTTCAGTTCAGTCTCTCACAAAGAAGTCCCCTTAAAAAATATGTTTGCAAATCTGTAAAAGCTTAAGTTGAACCTGAAAAGAAAAACACAGACAGAGAAAAGAACATTAGATTTAAAACTAATAATTTCAAACGAAAAAGACAATTGCATAACCTCAAAAAAATCTGTTTTAAACAAAAATATTTTTGGAAATGTCTCCGGTAAATGAAAATAGCACATTTAAGGCTTTTCGTGATTAATATCTCCTTCCAAAATATTTCCACCCTTTGATTTTTTTTTTTTTTTCAATTCTCACTTTATAACCAACTGTATTTTATTAGCATTGCACATGTGATAGAAAAAGATGGGGTGCATAAATCTAATAGGAAAACGCCTCACTAAAAACTAGAGAAAAAATATTCAATGCATGTAGCCCTTTTTAATCTGATGCCC